TAGACACTTAAGACATAGGTAGTGTATATTATAGGGTCAGTAGACACTTAAGACATAGGTAGTGTATGTTATATATGGTCAGTAGACACATAAGACATAGGTAGTGTATGTTATATATGGTCAGTAGACACTTAAGACATAGGTAGATTATAGTATAGGGTCAGTAGACACTTCAGACAAAGGTAGTGTATATTATAGGGTCAGTAGACATTTAATGCATAGGTAGTGTATATTACAGGGTCAGTAGACACTTAAGACATAGGTAGTGTATGTTATAGGGTCAATAGACACTTAAGGCATAAGTCGTGTATATAACAGGGTCAGTAGACACTTAAGACATAGGTAGTGTATATTATAGGTTCAGTAGACACTTCAGAGAAAGGTAGTGTATATTATAGGGTCAGTAGACACTCAAGACATAGGTAGTGTATATTATAGGGTCAGTAGACAATTAAGACATAGGTAGTGTATATTATAGGGTCAGTAGACAATTAAGACATAGGTAGTGTATATTATAGGGTCAGCAGACACTTAAGACATAGGTAGTGTATATTATAGGGTCAGTAGACAATTAAGACATAGGTAGTGTATATTATAGGGTCAGCAGACACTTAAGACATAGGTAGTGTATATTATAGGGTCAGTAGACAATTAAGACATAGGTAGTGTATATTATAGGGTCAGCAGACACTTAAGACATAGGTAGTGTATATTATAGGGTCAGTAGACACTTAAGACATTGGTAGTGTATATTATAGGGTCAGTAGACACTTAAGACATAGGTAGTGTATGTTATAGGGTCAATAGACACTTAAGGCATAAGTCGTGTATATAACAGGGTCAGTAGACACTTAAGACATAGGTAGTGTATATTATATAGGGTCAGTAGACACTTAAGGCATAGGTAGTGTATATTACAGGGTCAGTAGACACTTAAGACAAAGGTAGTGTATGTTATAGGGTCAGTAGACACTTAAGACATAGGTAGTGTATATTATAGGTTCAGTAGACACTTCAGAGAAAGGTAGTGTATATTATAGGGTCAGTAGACACTTAAGGCATAGGTAGTGTATATTATAGGGTCAGTAGACACTTAAGACATCTGTAGTGTATATTATAGGATTGTTTCTTTGTTTTCGTATTTCAGTCACTGCATGCAGCAAATTTTAGAGAGTGTTAACTATTGTCATCAACATGGAATAGTGCACAGAGATTTAAAGGTAAGTAAATAAACATCTACACCTTTTCAGTGCCATCTCTGCATTTATCAGCAATTCAACGAGAGAAAACATTTAAATACTACAGCTGATTCAGTGTTTGCCTTGAAATAAACACTGGTATGTATTCAAGTCAGTCATGTTATTGCTTGGTGTATCAAAAATATCATTGTTATGCCAATGTTTGGTTTTAACAACACTTCCAGATAATGCATTGAAAAGTCTACAGGTTGTCTTTTGATATTGATTTTGATTTATTGAAGTATTTACATGTACTTACAATGTTACTTTCTGTTTATGCAGATTGTTGTTATTCCTATATTGTTGTTTAGAATTTAACAATGCAAAAATTAATGATGATTTCAACAAATCAAATAGGACCATTATTCTGAATTTGATGCAGAAAGTTTTTAAGGTCATTGTAGAAGCATCAACAGATAAAACAATTCTGATAGTATTAATCATTCACCCCTGAAATTTCATAATGAACCAGTTCAACCTTTGAATTGGAAGAGTTTAAATGTGTCTTCAGGGTTGAATGAGGTAAGTGCTCCCTGAGGTCTGATAATATAGATATAGTTGATAACCCTTTGTAAAAATATTGCTTGTTTACCTCAAAATGAAAAAAATAAAAAAATATTTGGAGAGTTTCATTTAAATTTAAAAAATAAATCGAGAGAAGCGGACGAAGTGAGTTGTAATACTAATAGTGATGTTGAGGTACATCCCCTTAGCTGCTTTCTCCCCCTGTTGTTATGTACCATTGGTGAACAGTGACACACTGTCTGCTAAATGTGCTCCCTCTCTAATACATTGCTATATATACGGTGGGTGTTGCTGTCTACTTCTCAAATGTCATGCTTGTTGGTTTGTGATAATGTCAGTCGGCTAACTACTTGTTTCATCTTCTTAGAAGATTGCCGGATTCTGCAAGCTTAACTGAAATACATCTATTTTTTCTGCTGCTCATGTTCAGTTATTAAGTAATATAGTTATTAACAGTGTGGTATTTAAAACAGTAATTAGTTAAGAGATCTTCTCTCTGTGTGTTGCAGTCATTTTCTAAATGAATAACTTTTCGACTTTATCTGAAATATTTTTTCATTATTACATCATGGTTTGTGACATTTTGATGTGGACACAAACTAGTTACAATCTGATGTACTTTTATCTGGTTCAATATTGTCTAATCTATTGTTCATTATGTATAATATATTAGAAAGTTTATATATAGGTTTCAGATCTTGAGCACTGTTTCTACTGTAAAAATATTGTTTGTCTTAGTAAATGTCATTTTATTCTGTGATATTTTTGAACACCTATCTTTACGGTGGTGTTAACGTTAAGATGTTCTTCAAATTCAAGTCTATAATATTGAAAAAAAGACATTTTCTACAGTAGCCATTGCAGGGAATTCAAATGCATAACATTTAAAGTGTTCTGATGGACATTTTCTACAGTACACATTTCAGGAAATCAATGTTCTTATACAGTAGCCTTTGCAGGGAATTCAAATGCTTAACATTTAAAGTGTTCTGATGGACATTTTCTACAGTACAAATTTCAGGAAATCAATGTTTTTATAATCAAATTTGTAATCTTTAAAATGTTGTGAAGGGACATAACTTTCAGTAAAATTTTCAATGAAACAATGTTCTTACAATCAACAAGCCATATGACAGGATATCGTCTATAGTAGAAATTTAAGTGAAATATTAAAAACCATAACAATAAAACATATAACAGGTATTTGTCTTAATCCGATTGTTAACCTGTGTATAATAGGAGACAGGATAAATTATAAGCATTGGAGCTGATTGTCATAAAATAGCTTGTTGTTCACCCAACTGTTCCAGCTAATTAATCACGGTCAATGGATCGTATATAACGTGTATAGAAGATTAGGTATCTCATGGTACACGTCAGTAATAACAGATTAAAACATCTATAAGTATGCTACAAATTCTCGTGGTATGTTGTAGTTATGACAGATAAAGACGGTTCTTGGCACACAGCAAGTGCAAGTTGATCGAAAATCCATGCATAAGTTTGATTCAAATTAAAACCTTACTATTACAGTGGTATATTTTACTGTATCACATGAAACACACATTGTATGGAGAAGCTCTCTGACAGAGCCGAAATCCTTCTTGTTGATCACTTGTAGTTCCTGCGAATCCAACTGAGTTATCGGAGTGCCCAACTCCATGGCAATAATGGCTACACCGGTACCACCCGTATGATCGGTACCACCCGTATGATCGCCCAGACCAGATTGTCTCATTCTGTGGGTCCTGATTTTCCTGACCACACAGGCCTCCACCTGATACAATCTTTTATTGTCCTCCGAGTTGAAAGCCAAATCATCTGACAAGTATTCCTCAACAGTACCACATCCGGCTGTGAATTTTTCAGCGATCCTGATAAGTTAGATACGTTTCTTACTTAGGTCTTTTGCCACAGTAAGCACGTCTTAGTCACTGCCCAATTGTCATGAACCCCCAGGGCTTTCTCAGCTTTTCAAGTGATAAATCTGCACTCCAAAATGACCACATTTTCTGCCTTTGTCTTGTATTCATTTATGATTTCCTGTTTCTGGTTTCTGAATTGTTTGTCAGGTAATGTTCTCATCAAATAGAGCGAGTCTGAAGGACATTCTTCTTTAGAATCATCGTGGACTTTTCAGAATGTATGTTGCTGTGTTGAACTACAACCCAGACATGTTCTCATATGTACACCTCCAAAAGCTTATGCATCATCCTGCATACAATTATCTCTATTCTGATACACCTGTCAAGCACACATAGCCCCACCCCTTACATGTACCCTATGTATACATGATAAAAACCTTTGCAGTGTTATTCTCTACTGTATAAGGGAAGGATTATTATGATAGTCGTCTGTACTATAAGACGGAAGGACATGGATGTCTACTGTTTTGCTATGTTCGTTCGGAAAGAATACATTAAGAGCACATCACCTGTTTCAATGAGTGAAATGCTTGCAAGTATTGTTTCTACATTAAGATGTCAGGCAGACTTGTTTCACAGGGAGAAAGACTTCATTCGCAGGAAAAGAGATTGCTGTTTCACGGGAAAGGAGACTGCTGAAGTGTGTATGGTCTAGGACGTACCACAAGGGAGCTGTGAGCGCAGAATTCACCAGTGAGCTCTGTCTATGTGATCCAGTAATGGGGTTTACTTGTATTTTGCTGTGAAATGTGCGATACGCTTTCGCCTCACTATATGTCCCTGGTGTGCTGTTTGCTCAAGTGGTGGCCTCTTGCAGTTGCTTCTGCACATCAGCTATTATAACATGACAGCTTACTGGAGCTTCCAATAATGGTTCAAGAATTATTTTTTGGATTTTCACACTGGCATTTTGTGTATGTGTATGTGTAAATAGTCTCCAGCAGAAACATTTGTAAAAATACATTAACTCCTGACAGCATGCATAACAGGGTCATAATATTTTGTGACATTACATTTAGATGTAGTAAATTTGGCAAGGGATAATTCGGGCAAAATATTCTGATCATGCATCCAAGAAAATTGAATACCAGTCTGCTTAGATCAATGAACAGCATTATTTTCATGGAACAGTAAAATAAAAACTGAGACTTGGGAAGATTATATCAGTGAATTGTAACCTAGTAGAGTTGGAGTTGAGTTGTTGCTGCTCATCATTTACACAGTGTTATGGAATAGGAGGATAACACATTACAAACCAAAAGTACCTGTGGTTAAGGTCTATAGATATATAGACCAGTACTGGGATACATCTTTCTCTTGCAGTATTGGTACATCATAACATTTGGTCCACCATGCAGTCTTTTTGGAACATTTTGTAAGTTGACCATGTTCATGCAGGTGGAAGGTTTATACAGACCTATACAAGTTCTAACAGGTGGGATGGGGGTGATAATACAATGATGAAACATGTGAATATCTTTATGGCCATGCATATGGTTGTAATTAAACATTTCAGCATTAATGGTGGCTAGCGTTTGTGTGTAGAGGTGTACATTTTATCACCATAGTGCACAACCAAATACTGCAGGCCTATCTTCATGTCCACACATTGTGGAATTTGACTTGGTTTATACCCCACAGAGTTGCTCATTGGAATATTGGCGTGCTTACAGTCCAGAATCAAATCATTCTCACTTGTTATTGAAGGGATGTGACATCATTTGTCGGTGTGTTCCGTCTGAGCACATTTGTGGACTGTGTCGGGAGATTGGTGTGGCAGAGGTTTCAATGGGTTATACATGGTGGATTAGCTATACCAACACCACCACACGATTGATATGTAGAATACTGAGGTTCAGTGTCATGATGTTTGGTTTATCAAGGTTTGGTAGTCCTCAATATTCTTAGTTCTGTTGTCAGGCAAACACTTGATTAACTAATGCTGTAGACTCATCAGTGATTGTTATGGCAGCACTCTAGTAACAGGGTAGTCCTCTAGATTTCTCAGTACATTGTTAGGACAGCACTCTAGTAAAAGGGTAGTCCTCTAGAATCCTCAGTACATTGTTAGGACAGCACTCTAGTAAAGGGGCAGTCCTCTAGGTTCCTCAGTACATTGTTAGGGCAGCACTCTAGTAAAAGGGCAGCACTCTAGTAAAAGGGTAGGCCTCTAGATTCCTCAGTACATTGTTAGGGCATCACTCTAGTAAAAGGGTAGTCCTCTAGATTCCACAGTACATTGGTAGGGCAGCACTCTAGTAAAAAGGAAGGCCTCTTGATTCCTCAGTACATTGTTAGGGCAGCACGCTAGTAAAAAGGAAGTCCTCTTGATTCCTCAGTACATTGTTAGGGCAGCACGCTAGTAAAAAGGAAGTCCTCTTGATTCCTCAGTACATTGTTAGGGCGGCACTCTAGTAAAAAGGAAGTCCTCTTGATTCCTCAGTACATTGTTAGGGCAGCACGCTAGTAAAAAGGAAGTCCTCTTGATTCCTCAGTACATTGTTAGGGCGGCACTCTAGTAAAAAGGAAGTC